CAAAAAAAAAAAAAAAAAAAAAAAAAGAAATCGTTGACACCGGTCCAAAGATTTGTGGGGAGGATCGTAGCGATCTTAGAGATACGTCGGTTCATGATAAGAGAGATTCGTGCCTTTGCTACTACGTTCCATCACGATCGTACACACATGTGTTTAGTCTGTATCATACCGTAGTGATCGTTTCATTGTACGTTTAGCATATATTCTGTCTCGTACCAATTCTTTCCTTTTTTACTCGCATTGACGTGCTTTGATCTGCCGTATATTTTTAATCAAATCTTCCTTCTATCTATGCTCTATCATGCTTCCTTGAGACTTCTCGATCTTGATCACCTTCCACTCACCTTCAATTCTTAATTATTTAGATTAAAATTCATTTTATCGTTATAAACCAGAACACGCGATTTTGTAAAAAAGAAAAAAAAAAGAAGAAAAGAAAACAAAGAAAGAAAAAAAAGAAAGTTATTCAATGTTCGACGAAGATGTTCGATGTTTGCGCGTTGTCTATCGCAAGAATCCCGGACGAACTCATCTCTACACTGATTACAGCGATCTTTACACTCGATCTCTCGCTGATCGATTCGTCGCTGGAGAACATTCATCGCCGCGAGTGCTTTTCGAACGAACCTCGTTCAAATTGATCGAGAATTGTTCGAAAACTTGACGAGAAGACGCGCTAGTGTGTGGATGACTTTGGTTCAAACTCGATTTCATCGACGAAACGGGCTCATTATCCAACGCACGGCCGATTGATCAGCGAAGAACGGAATTCCTCTAGCGATAGCCAGATTCACCCACGACTTTAATCGACCGCTATATAGAAACAAATTGCGCGAAGCACACACGATAACGTCGTTTACAGCTTTACAGTTACATGAATATTCCCCACGGGACAGAACGTTTCAACAGTTTCAACTCACGCAAGCAATCATTAAAGCTACTTCGTGTCACTGTACTTCATCAAAAAAATGATCGAAGCTTATTTTTCACCGAAGCAGACGTCGTCCGTTGCTTTTTGAACACGAAGAAATTTGAAGGAACGTCCGACTCGTTCAAAGAACATGGAACATCAACGAAAGATTTCTACTCGTTGCTTCGGTGAACACGTAGCTTGATATACGTCGAATTAACTGTATGTTGCGCGTCGTTAACAACGTCAACGTCTTGGTCACGATACACCCAAGTATTGTTGAGAGCTGAGAAGATGGTAGTGATTGGTTGGTTTATTAGATCGACAACATCAATTAGACAATATATATACATATATATATGATCAAGAGGATCAAACTGAAAAGTCTCGACTGCCTTTTTTTTCAGCTGTCAACTATATGAAAATCTGTAGAGATTAATCGAAAGTCCTCGATTATACACACCAGCTATTGCGCCTATTCCTCTCGATTAAAGGCAGAGAGTTGTTACGATACCAAGGAGAATCGTTGTTTCCTATTTCATTCGCATCGATCACCCAACCTGAATCACAATGCCCTGCTGATGCTCACAGTCAGCTCTCCTTTTTCTCTCTCTCTCTCTCGATGACGCGACGATGAAACAGGCGTTCGTTTCGACCCATTTCCGAAGTCAAAGATCCTCGACACGATCCAGCAACACGCATTGTGAATGTCTACTCTAGCCGGCTTGCTCGTTCACCCTCGAACCGATTCTTTCCGTTGTCCGACGGACACTTGGCGGGGTTACGTTAAGCTGTGCGCAATAAGAAATGTCAATGTCTCAAGAGAGGATTCCTGGCCGACTATTCCGCGATGGAACTAGGTGAGTTGGACGACGTGTTGTGCTCCACTCGTCGGTTTCACCGGCGAGGACTCCTCATCTGGCTCCTCTCTTTCGACCAACGACCGCGCCTCTTTTCAACTTCTCTCTGTCTTGTTTGCGCGACACGTACGCCGGAAACGCGGCTTTTCACGTCTTCTTTCACGCGCGTGGAAGCCGCTGGTTTAAAGAAGACGTGGTAGTCGCCATCGTTTCACACGGATGTCTAGTCAGGCTGGTCGCGAAGTCGGTCGCGTGTTTCGTTCGATTTCAAAGGAACGAGAGATTCGAAAGAGGAGGAGGAGACTGGAGGGCTTTGAAGACGAGTTTTTCGTGGAGATGATTGGTGGTTGTGGGTACTCTGGGGGGTTGCGACGAACATCCGCCGATACGAGGTCTGTGACCTTTCAAACGTTCTCTTGCTATGGTGCATCTCGATGACTAGGACGTTTCTAGACAGAGGATGATTCGAACGAACATTTTGTCCGATTTCATTTCCTTATTGCGAAATATGAACTTTTTAACCACTTTCAACTCTTCATTCACTTCATTGAACGCTGGCGACCATAATAATGTGGGATTTGAAATTTTTAATTTAATTGCCAATTTTGTTGAATACCCAAAATTTCGGTAATCCAATATAAATTAATACGATCGTGTATAACTCAACGATGCTAAAATTCGAATAAAAATTTGTGTAAAAAAGATGGATGTATCAATCTTGGAGAACACGACGCGATCGCTAGACAACGAAGATTCCAGGGATGGCTTTCGTTGGACGATTAATGCATGGGGTCTGCGTTCCCGCAAGAACCCCACACTACCAAAAATTTAACGCACAAATACTCACGTTAGGAGCACTTACAGGCTTCAGCTTGTGGCCTCATGCCTGGGGGAACCACCTCGTTGATCATGGTGTCCCCTACGCCAGGTTAGTATGGTACACACCGATTTCCGGCTCCGTGATTAGCACTAACGACAGCGTACTCACTTTCGAGAAATTATTCTCAAAATGAAACTCCATCCATCGGCGATCAAGCTGAACTATTCGTGATAACTGAATAACGAATTATTCGATCCAATCACAAGGTGGCCAGGAAAATTCTCGCGTTTTCTATTTCATTCGAATCCAAACATCTTTTTTTTTTGGAGGAGAAGAGTTTTTATCATGGAATGGATTGCAGAGAGTTTCGTGATTGTGTTATCACTCATATGTTTCAGTATCGTTGGATATAGATTACTGTGGCAACTTGTGTTAGCTCATTGAAATTTTGGATACTTTATATTCTTGCCCGACGGTTAATAGAATAAAATTGAATCAAATCAGAAGTCGGAATATCGGAGAATTGATTTACATTTGTGGAATATTTGCAGTTTTCAATTTATTAAAAAAAAAAATGATTCTTTCTTCGTTTTATCACGAACTACCTTCTATTCTTGCAACTTTCGCTTCCATTTCTTTGATTTACGAACGTTTCGACGAGATCAGAGTTGGCTTCGTCGTTCAAAGTCTCGTTGGCCGGAATTTCGTAGCAAACAAGTACGCATAGAAAATGTGTGTTGCCGTGCGTTTCTCTTGGGTGGGAACCCGAGTCGAGGCGTGTAATTCTCGAATCAACCCCCGTCTACCAGCGAAATTTCCTGCCTAAATCGGGGATATTGTGAGCTTGATTACTTCGATATAGATATTGCGTTACAACTGTGGCTGGGAGGAGGGGGCCGTGTAATCGAACTACACGAAGTCTCGTAAACTCGATGAACTTGAAAGACGAGCCATCGTCGAAGTCCTGAACTTCTGACGGCGTGCAATGTTAGCACTTTGGGAGGTGAGTTCGCGGCCTCGCTCAGTCCCCCTTCGTTTCTCGTTGCTGTTGCTGTTCTGACCCGACGATTTCCTCCCTTGATAATTGATTTCCCGCGTGTAAACGGGTGGATCGAGACACCGAGTGCTGCGAGATGAATTTTTAAGTTTCCTTTCGCGCGAAGTCGGGCGAACGATGACGTATTATGATCAAGAGGGGCAGCAACGAGTGAGAAATACCTTTGAAATTAAATTAAATTAGAAGAAGGAAAGTTCTTTGGTCGAGTAGATTAGTATTTTGAAGTAAAAAACGAATTACGTATTGTGTCACGATTCTACGCACCTGCTACATAGTTTGCAGAAAATGAAAGCATTCGAATAACGGAAAATTAGAATAATGCAATCATCTGCACTCATTAAATTCTTTTCTTTTTTTTTTTAAGACAATAAACACGATCTAATATATCCACTGAGTCAAACTAAGAAAAAAAAAATTCAATACAAGAATCAGATAAATACGATCCGATCAAATCCATATTGATTGTATTTTCCCCAAAAACAACAACTACGATCTATAACACGTTGAGAAAGAAATCTATATCTGCGAAATAACTGGAAAATTGCGACTATATGCATCCAAATCACCGAAAATTTGACAGGCTCGCGAGAAAAAGTGGCAATCCCATCGATAGCCCATTAATTCCCAGTAATGATCCAATTACCGGGCCAGAGTCAGCCCTTTCGAACACCTATTCGCCACCTTGCAGCGTGTTCGTGCGCGTCGGTCACGTTCCAGGGCATTGAGCAACATCCAAGTGTACCTAGCCTAACTGAACCGTAACCAGACCGCCGTCGCAAATCAACTCCACCGCCCCCTCAACAGGCCAAATATTAATTCGATCGAGTTTGGTCGTCGTAGTAACCGGTAAACACAGGTACACGTTCATTCGTCGAAGACTCGTGACGTTAAACGTCCGATCGTCGCACTAACCTACGAGCACGAGTCGAGATGAGTTTCTTCAAGGTGGAGGAGGTGCAGTGCGGACCTCTGAAGCCGAGAAAGTATCCGCTAGCTGCGGTTGGCAGTCCGAACGCGTTCTGGGGGTATAGACTGCGCGAGAGGTCCGGTTGCAAAACAACGAAGATCCCGAAATCGTACGAGGAATATCAGCAACAGAAGGAGAAGGAGTACGAACACCTGACGAAACTCTTGGAGTTCGAGAACCAAACGAACAGCAGGATCAAAAGGAAGAGCGTTCAGCAGCGTGTTCAGCAAGGTACTTAACGAGGATTGTTAGGGTGTTGATGATCGGCAGGATCATCACGCGTTGAAGTAAGAGGTGCGTGCATAGGATTAGACGTACTTGTAATTTCAGAGTTGCAATGTTCTTGAAATTAGGCGCGATCTTTTTTGGGGGGAAAGAGGGAATTAAGAGCTTCGTAAATTATTGGAATATTCGATATCATCGAAGAGAATTATTAACGCAGCTCTGTTTAAGGAAGAGAAAGAATAGACGAAGTCGACGGGGATTAGAAATTATTTCAACTACTACGGGGAATAGATTATTCTTTCCAGAAACGAATGTTGGGATGCAAAGGAAAATATTCCGAGTTCTTTAGAATTTAAGCTTTGTCAAATCTTCCTCTTCCATTTTCAATAAAAAAAAAGATGTTAAAACTCTAGTTCTTTTACTCCTACAAAATCACTGTCAACGAGCGACGATTCTCCAGGATTAGCATCGTTCGAGGAGAGCGTGAACGCGCGGCGCGAGAAACTCCGCGACTTGCTGTTGAAAGAAGAGATGGGTCTGATCCACGAGGTGATACACCAGGCTCAACACGGCGACGACGCGAGGATGGACGACATGCGCCAGAGAATAGAGGAAATCCAGAGGGAAGAGGAGAAGAAACGTTTAGCACTAGTAGCCGCGAAGCGAGTGCAACAGCGTGTGGCTCAGTCGCCGGAAATCCGCGAGAGACTTTCGAAGAAGTCGATGATCGACGCGAAATTGGTCAACTTGGTCCAAATGGCGGACAACGAGGCAAAGAGGCAAACAGACAGAGAACTGGACAATCTCTGGCATCAGTTGATGCTGAAAGAGGTGGAAGCGAAGAAGCAGAGGGACGTGGAAGAGGCGAAAAGGCGTTGTCTCACGGAACAGGCCAACGTGACCATCCTGACAAACCAAGTGGCAGGGAAACTGGCTCTCGAGGAGCAGAAGAAGCAGATACACGCGGAAGACAGAGAGCATATGCAACGCCTGTTGGAGGAACTTCGTCAGGAAGATTTGGAGAACGTCGAGAAGGAACGTCGGAAGCGAGAGGAGCTGAAGAAGGATCTGCAGGAGCAGATTCTGATGGCGAAGCGGAAGCTGGCGGAGCAGGCACGCCACGAAGCGGAAATGGACCGCTTGAGAGGGACCATCGCCGCGGAGGAATTGGCGAAGGAACGATCTACCATCAAAGAGTCCAGTGCCGCTCTTCGTAAAGAGTTACTCGCTTACATAGAATATTTGGAGGATCTGCGGAAAGAGGAAGCTAGGAGAAACGCGGAGGTGGACAAGATAATAGAGAAATCGTTGGAGGACGCTGCTAGCAAGCGCAGCCTAGCGGTGCAGAAGTTCAAACAAGCCAGAAGGAAGATTCTGGACGACGTTCTGCGAGGTCGCGAGGAACAGTTGAGAATGAAGAACGAAAACGAGAAGAAGGAGATGGAAGCACGTCGATTGGAGAAAGAGACGTTGGAGAAGCAGATAGAATCGGAAGCGAAGCTGACTGCTTACGCAAAGAAGGAGAAGAAGGAGAAGATGTTGTGCTATAGAAAGGATTTGGAGGAACAGTGGAAACGGGCTGAAGACACGAAGCGTAGAGAAGCTGAAGAAGAGAAGAAGATCTACTTGGAAGAGCTGAAACGTCAGGAGGAGTACGAGAAATTGACGGAGGAGTTGTTGGAGGCTTCTGAGATCGTTGTCCCGCATCCGTTCAAGATTTTGCTGAAGGAATGCGCGGCTCGTTACGCTGCGGAGAAAGAGGGACAGTGTTACTGTCCGCCACCATTGGATGAAGAGAAATAATGTACGCGTAAATTTGAATGATGAAAGATATGCAATATACGTTTTATTATATTGTAAATTGATATACATTTAACCTTGGATGGCTCATACAGCACGAATTTTTGGTCTTGGAATTAAGTGTACGTCATTCATCGATTATTAAAAATATTTGGAATAAATTCTTAATTTCTTTCTTCTTTTTCTTCGCTTAACACAGTTTTAGTACGACACGAAACGAATTAACCATGTTACAGGAGGGCTGAAAATAAGTTTAATTTTCCCGCTCCGGAGGGATCCACGATCCATGCGGTGATCTATAGCTCCGTTCGAGCTGCACGCACCATCTGTGCCATCCTCCGAGAAACTTCGAACGCGCTCGTCGTCAAGGTAGAACTCTGTTTCATTATCGATCCTTCCTTCTTTTTCCCCTATTTTTCGCAGCGCGCAACTTAGTGGCGCGACATTTAAAAATACCGGCCACGGAAAATCGCTCGAAATAAACCTGTCGCTCGACGCAACCTTTTCGGCTGGGAATGTCGCTGAGAATAAACGTTGGCAGAATAAATTGGCGAGGCTGCAACGATCAGAAAATCAGAATGTAAAACGGCCAGTCACACGGAATAGTAATAAGCGCGTGGATTCGTGGCAAAACGAATTATACGAAACGACGAAACAAAAGCGATCGTAAAAACCAAGCATCGGCGTGAATCGCGCGTAAATAATTCCATCATCGAATTATTTTCGATGGGAATTATTTTCAGCGACGCTGCGGTCGTGATGCTCGCATTAAAATAATTACGCGCTCCGGATTGAAATGTCGCTTTTTCCCCTTTTTTCTTTTTTTCCTCGGCGAGATTTATACTTCGCTAAAAAACTGATTCGTTCTCGCGCTTCGGGCTCTCGACGATTCTTTCTTTTCCTTTTCTCCCTCTTTTTATCGTTCTTTTTTCTCCAAATATTTTTTATCCTTTCGTCTTTTATTTCCCTCTGATACATATTTACAACGGGCACTGGTCGAATATCTGCACGAGTTTCCGCGCAGCCACCTTCGGGCGGTTGCTTTGAAATTCACGGCGAGCCAACCTGACGTGCAAATTGACACACCGATTGGATTAAATAACATAACTTGTCCGGGCGGGACGCGTCGCGCGTAAATTACCCGCCGTTTCGTTCGATTATCGGAAAACACGCGACGCGTTGAAAAGGAGAACTGATTTAATGAGCGCGCGCGATCAAAAATTAAACACGAATTAATCGCTCCGCTTTCCGAGACCCGTCTGCTCGCCGGTGATTTAACGCGAGCTTCGGGAAGATGCATCGTGCTACTCTCTCGTTCCTCGTTCTTCTTCTTCATCGCCTGTGGGCTGCTCTCGAAATCTCGTTAATAATTTAACAGCAGAATTGCCGGAGTAATCGAAATCACTAATTCGTAATTTTTCGTAGCGATTTCACAGATTTGAAACGATGCGTTTCCGTCAATGCGATTTTTCGCAAAATATCACTCTGATGGAAATTTTATTTGTACTTTAATCATCGATAGATCTAATGTTAATCATCCTAATGCATACGTGTTCCATTTTTCTTTGACGATATCTACGAAAATATAAATTGTGCAGTTAATTTGGGAAGCTGTT